CTTAAACTTTAAAATTTTCTTAAACTTTTTTCTTGTTTGTTTAGGCTTATTGAGTTATTTTTCAAAATGACAAATGGTGAATATCACAGAAGTCTGGATTTTCCTCTGGTTTAAAGGCATCTGATAGTCTACTATTTATTTATACTTTAACAGTCATATATGAGTAATTCCCTCGATATTTATGTGCTTTTTCAGTAATAACAGGGAAAAGTCATTACAATAAAATGTCTACATACAAATATTAAGGGAATATTTACTTTTCTAGTTAGACGACTCCCTTCCTGCTAACACGCAGACTTTTCCTGATTTTTGAACTCTTATCCACTAGTTCTAATCTAGCAATCAGTGATCTCTCTCCTATATCCTGTTTTCTCTGTCGCACAACTTATTTCTTTTCTCTTAAACCACATGAGATGTATAGGAGAACAAACAAGGAGACTATGAAGATTTCCATTAATTAGTAAGTTTGAAGTTTTAGAACATCAGAACAAAAGTTCTCAAACTTTAGTGGAGCTATGAATTATCTGGAGACATTTGTTGAAATTCAGATCCCCAGGCCCCACACTCAAGAGATTCTTAATTCAATAGGCTTAGAGTGGGGCCCAGAAGTTTCAATTTTTAACACACAGTCCAGATGATTCTGACACAGGTGTTGTGTGGATCATACTTGGAGAAACGCTGTAGGGTCTCTGCCCGTAGTAAGTATATATGCCTCCAGAAGACAGAAGGAAGCATTCTGTTCTCATACAAGTAGCTTAAAACTATGTTTTCCAAAGTGGGAAATACAAACCCCAAGAGAATGGGTAAAACAATCCATTGGGGTAGGAAGAGGATATTAGAATTATCTTTTCATCAAAAAAATCAACTTTATCAACATTAAATAAAAGATTGATGCTTGGCATTTAAAAAGAGAGAGAATCAAAAAGGAGATAACAATAACAAAAATTCTGGAAGCCAAAAGAAAGATAATTAAGTGGTGAAAGATTTAAGAGACCAGAACTACTGAAACTTAAGCTAGTAGAAGTAACCTTGCTTTGTATTGCAGAACTGCTGAAAGGTTCAGAAATTTGAGCCTTCACCTATCTTTAAAAAGTAGGGCTGAAAACAAGTTGACTATTTCTATAAAAAGCAGTTAAACCCCAGAGCCCTTTCCCAACAGCAAGGATGCAGGCAGCTACACTTCTGCCATCAGAAGAGAAGACAGGACATTTGGAGAGGCTAATCCAGAGGACTGTGGAGTCAGAGGCACCAGGCAGAGCTGAGGGTGAGAAAAGAGGGGAATTACATGAAAATCTACATACCGAAAGTGCAACTCTTAGCCCCCTTCTCCACTAGACTGCTCAAATTGGCAGATTCTATCTGGAGAAACTGATCAGCTCCAGAGAAGAGACATACACTGACAATTAGGGAATCTCCCCCCAAAGAAAAAGCCTAGTCGAAACACTTTCCAGTGAAACCCAGCCCTCAATAAGACACACCTGTGCTCAAGAGCTTTTCAATCTGCTTTCAGCTCTTCATTCTAAATATTGATAGAAGATTAACTCATCTTTAAAAAAAGCCCAAAATATGAAAGACCAAAAAGAACAAACAAACAAAACAAATACTTAAAGAAAGCAGAGAGAGCAGAGGGAGCAGAAGCCAAGCAATTCATTGGGTTGGAAGCCAAAGAGAGGGAAATCTCCACAAGAAAATCAGAAGTTCAGTTCAGAAGAACCAACATATAAAAGGAGGAGTTCCCTAAAATCAGAACAGAAAAAGTAGAGAAAAAAGATATTATCAAAGAAAAAACTCAACAAAACTTCTCAAAAGAGAAAGATGAGACTTTTCAGACTGAAAAGACATGCTGTGTATCTAGCACATCTTGGAAAAACTTTTGAGCACTGAGAACAAAGACATGATTCCAAATGCTTTCAGAGAGGAAAAATTAAAAGCAGGTCACCTACAAAGGATGAGGAGTCATTACAGTATTTGACTTCTCAGCAGCAACACTGGAAACAAGAAGCAATGGAGCATTAATACTTGGAGGAAAGAACGATTTCCCAAGATCTCAAAAAATGTATCTCCCGTGATCTCCTTCTCAGACAGCCACTGGAATATGTGCATAATAGAGTAAACGAAGATAGAGGAAGACTAGGGAACTAGGAGAGAGGGACCCAACAGGCGAAAGGGAAAGATAATCCTCAGGTGGATGGTGAAGGCAGATCCCAGGAGAGACAGAGGTCACAGAGAACAATCAATTCAAACTGGACTGAGGAGACGGGACTTTTTCATTGTTTCATGCATTTCATCATCTTTTTCATCATTTTCCTCACCATTGTAGTCTCATGCCATTAGTGACAGTACATAGAAAACCAAGCAAAAAACAAATAAGATATAATTATTAACTGCTGAGAAAAAAATAAAGATTTCTTATAAAGGAGATGCTATCCTGGATAATAAAATAATCCACACAGCTTAATGCCGCTTCTCTGACCATGAATCCAAGAGATAATTGAGGGAAAATAAAACTTATACACTGCAATGCTAACCTTAAAAAGTTATGTATCTGGAGCAGACACTTTTCACTTTCCATTTACTTTGCATCTTGTGCCCACAAATTTTTCTTAACACCTTCTCAACCCATGGATGTACATGCTCAGCCTATCCCATAGTAGCAGGTGCTGTGTGGCTATTGAAACCACACCAATTATTTTAAAGCCATCTGATTCAAGTTTCAAAGGTATGGGTCACAGTTATGATATTCTAGAGTTTAGCAAAGAATCATATCACTTTGGCCCTCATCTCAAACTTCTTAATTACTTAACCTGCTAAAATAAATAAGTGGATATCCTTTTGATTTTGTACTTATGACTGAAATGCAGCTGTTTCCCCTTGGCTCCATTCTGATCTCAGAAAGGACTTTTATGCTTTAACTACCTTATTTTACCACCCATCTTCAATAATTCTCTTTATTCCACTGCAATCACCTTCACCATATTAGAGTCCTTTACATTCTACTTCAGTTTTATATTTCTTAGTAATAATCTAAAAATAGCTATTAGTCCCAAACATTCCTAATATTTTATCATAAAAGAAAAAATAATTTATTTGTGTTTATTCTGTGACTATGTCATCTTTTTATTCCTATTACTGACTTGGTATTTAATCTATAAATAGAGTATTATCCTGTGATTATCAACAAAGCTTTCAAAACTTAAATTTTATTTACAAAATAATTAGCTAGCCTTATTTTTTCCCTCCAAAAAGTTCTATCAACACCCAAGACCAGTATTCTGTTGCCTCCTTTCGTTTACCTCATTCTTTAAAGTGATATTTAGACAAATATTTACAAATACATTTATTACTGAATCATGCCCTGAGTTTTATAAATTGTGAAAGTTCTTTAAATTCTACAAGTTGTAATAAGAAAAAAAAAAATAAGCTGAAGAATTCCTGACCATCTAGTTTTAAGTAAATTGTTCTCTAGAGTCAAAAAGCAAAATAGCAGTGACCTCTTTATTTACACTCAACCTCTCATCTAAGAACATGTAATCTGAAAGAGTGACTATTACCCCAATTTTACCACCGAGGTACAGAATTACAGAGATTGAACTGAAGTGAACTCAAGAGGTTATCTAATCTAGCTTCTATCTCCAAGAATGACTGTATTTTAACAATCCAAGAGATGTGCCCATCTTCTCTATTTTTCAAAATCTCCAGGGAAGATGCTGCAACTTGCTTTAGCAATTTGCTCTGGTGTGTATAATATCCCTTGTTTTACTCATAATCCAAATCTGCAGATAAGAAAGAAATAAAACTCGGCTTCTCGGTTCCTCAGTAATGCTCTTGTTATAAAACAACCACAAATAGAAGTAGATGAGGAAACAGATATTTTGATAATAAAAATTTACAAAATCTAGTCAACTATTCACCTGTTTCAAGCAATATTTATTTTGAAAACAGTCTAGTATAACAAAATGACTTATACCTATCTTGGTTTCATAATAAATGTTTCTCATTAATAAGAAAAATAATTTCTAACTATTAGATGTGTATTTATGAGTCCTAAAGATAAAAATGGCAAATGTTTATTGGGAACTTCTGGGCTAGGCATTGTACTCCATACATAACATCACATTGAATCCTCGTGTCAGTTCCACAGGGCAGGCACTACTGTCATTCTCATTCTTTAGATGAAGAAATTGAGGCTCAGAGAAGCTAAGTTGTCCAAGGTCCTACAGACAGTGATGACGAAGCCAGGATTAAAACCTGCACAGTTTGATTTATGCTTTACTGTCTCTCTAATACATATTTAACAAATTTTAGTTGTTATTATCAGACTGCTTTAAGATTGGTTGAAAAATCCTCATCTTTAAAAAAGAGGTTTTTTTTAATTTCCATTATTTCCTCTATATTTTTTAATATCAAAGATGATCTGGGAAGTACAAGCACCTTCTAAAAAACATGCATTTAAATGACAAGTAATACTTTAAAATGTGTTTTTTAAAGTTTGCTTGATTGTTACATGATTTTTGTTAGGCTCATCCAGATTTGCTTTTAAAAATGTACATGGATATTTTTAAAGTGAATCTTAGTTATTTTGGACTTCACTTATTCTTTCGAGGAGCAAAGGTGCATGTAGGTCTTACTGCTATTCTAGGTGAAAAGGGGCAGATTTGAGGTTTGAAGCTAGGTTAGACTGGCTTCCATCTAAACATCTTATAAAATATTGTAACCAACTAGAATGTTTCGCCAAGTGTACATAACTTTTACCTAGGTAAATGGCCAACTATGTTAGCCAAATAATTTCCTGAAATTTGGCTGCTTTACTAAGGTAATTTGTATTGTTATTACAATAAGCATACTTCTAAACAGCTGAATTTTTGCTTTCTATAAAATGCCTTATTAATATTTCAGTTTATTAGTTGACATTGACATCTAGAAGGAGAAAAACAACACATTTCAAAAGCCATAAAAACTTTGACATTTCATCTATACTTCAACATGTAACACAAAATTACCTTTTTCATTGTTTCCTTTCCCACTGTAATCACACGCCCATCTTGCCCCATCCCATTCTTAAAGAACAGAATTAGGACTGAGGTCTTCTCACTAAGTTTCTTCATCCTAATAGAAAGAACAGGCTTGGTTTTCTGTCTTTTGACATCAGTAGGAAGCATCAACCCATTCATTGTCCAAGTTACTTTCTTCATTAACAACAGATGGTCTAGAAGAGAATTTTTTTTAAGTCAAGTCAATATTTGGCTTCAAAATTAAAAATGGACACATCACGCTTCCCCTCCCCCTATTACCTATATCCTATACACTGGCCAGTCTCCATTTAGATGCTGGTTTTCTGAAATGCTACCACCAGCTTCCCACTAACCGTGACATAAGCTATAGCAAGCTGTCTGCTCTGATAGCCTGCATAAATCATCATTTCTGAAGGGAACAGATGTTCAGGGTATGAAAGAGTAATACCACAATTTAGTCCTAATTAAAATTCACCTTAGCATGCCTCTATCACTGATCAGAAGCACTGGGCTTAAAGAGTCCATTGAAAGAGTCCAGGGTCCTTTGCTTACTATGAAACAACATGAGTCCTGAACTTTCGTGTTCTTTAGTGTTAGAAAAACACTATTTTTAAAAATATGATTTATTATCCATGTTGCTTTAAAGATTATGACCTCCAAGTAGTAACCTTATACATAATTCTTCTCTTGTGACTAGAATGAAGGTGCCTTCTAGGACATCTTCGGTGAGAGATTCTACTTCACTAAACTACTTCACTAAGAATGAAAACCAGTTTTTTATTAACAATTTACTTTGACCTATACATTTTCAAAGGTGTGTGCAGGAATTTGTGTTTCAAAACTCCCACTAATATTAATGGGAATGCAACTAAATTACTATGTATGATTTTGAAAATGTAAGGGTAAGAACAGGGGTCTAGTATACTGCATACTAAGTTGCTGTCAGCATTCCTCTCTTTTCAAGAGGTTTCATTTCATAAATAAATAATTTGCACCAAGTTATTTTATTTCTGCCTTCAATTTATTTTAGATTATATTTTCTTTTCATATAAATTATAAAAATACAAGGATCCCTCCCTCATCTGCTGTTTATTTGTCCTAATGAGAGGAATAAAATTTTATTTGCATATACCTGAAAATTTGCCCAAATTTCCAAATAACCCTTCTCTACTAGCACTTACCTTGAAAGAAGCATGGCCTCTTTGACCTAGAAATGGTACTTTACATAAAATCTGCTAGTATTGATACGAAACTTGAGCCAGTGGTTGTAAAAAACCTTCAAGTCCCAGAATGGCTACATTAAAAGCTCAAAAAAGCAAAAACACTTCTCTCTCTCTCTCTCTCTCAGGCACACACTCACACACACATACACGCACACACATATATACAGTGGGCAGAAATAGGATCAAAACTTGCAGAATAAATTAAAACTAGAAGATTATAGATATGAGTAAACCTTTAAGAAAAGAAAAATATTTTTACAGAAATTAGTTACTGTATTTTGTCACTTTGTAAATCTGAAATTGATAGGAATTAGAAAATAAGATAGAAGTTAATGACCTCATGTATGCCCCAAAGAATTACTCAATAAGTACTCAAATAAATAGATGTACACACTTGTTCATAGCAGCACTATTCACAATAGCCAAAAGGTGGAAACCAAATGCCCACCAATGTATAAACACATAAACAAATTGTCATATATACATACAATGGAATCTTATTCAGCAATAAAAGGAATGAAGTACTGATACATGCTACTATGTAGATGAACCTCAAAACATTATGCTAAGTGAAAGAAGCCAGACATAAAAGGCAACATGTTGTATAATTCCATTTATATGAAATATCCAGAATAGGTAAATCCACAGAAAGAGAATGAAGACTGATGGTTGCCAGGGGCTGGGAGGAGGGGCGATGGGGAAAAACTGAATTGGTAGGGGGTTTACTCTGAAATGATGAAATGTTTTGGAACTGGATAGAAGCGGTGGTTGTACAACATTGTGAATGTGCTAAATGGCACTGAATTGTTTGCTTTAAAATGATTGATTTTATGTTATGTGAATTTCACCACTATAAATAAATAATGGAGGAGGAGGAAGACACATGGTTAGTACCTCCCTGAAAATAAAAAAACCATCTTTTGCTGGGAAAAAAAAAGTTAATAAATTCTTGTGGTTTGATAGGAGTTTACCTACCATCTGGGCACTCCCCGCTCAGATGCTTTGCATAGTGGAAAGGGTATAAACCTTCAAACAAGGTTTGAATCTCAGCTCTGCTACTTGGTGACCCTAGGTGAGTTATGCCTCCCTGCCTCTCTGGATTCTCATCTACGAAGTGTGCAGTGGGCAGCACTCCACCACCTGATGAGGACTAAACGTCTTACAGGTAAAAGCACCTAACACAGTGAAGTCACTCCATGAATGTTGGCTTCTTCCCTACGTCCCAAAGTTCTCTGCTTATTAAGGAGCTCTAGAGCAGAGCTCGAGTCCAACCAGAGACACAGAATCCGCCCAGGTGTGTGAGCAGAGGGACTGACCCAGGGAATTGCTTATGTAAGTGATGGCAAAGACGGAGAAACAACCAAAGGACAGCGGGCAGACCCAGAGATCAGCCACAGCGAGAACCGACTACCACCCAGGCTGCGGGGGCGCGCTGCAGGGCTCAGACTTAGAGACTCTGACCAACAGAGGCTTTCCCCTTCGTCACTTGGACCAGGTCCAGGATTAGGGTGAGGCCAGTGAAGGGCCAGGAACGCAAAACTGGAGGGAGCGTGCTTAGGCGGTGCAAGGGCACAACCCTCAGAGCGCCTCCAAGTTGTGTCTTCTGGGGCTTCACTCGGCTCGCCCGAGCCCCAGCCTCCGTGCAGAACTCCTAAAATCCCACTAAAACTAATGCTTACTATTAGCCAGACACTACTTTATAACATTTACAGGTATTAACTCATTCAGTGTTCTCAACACTTTAAGAGGTAGATAATATCATGATCCTCATTTACAGGTGAGGAAACTGAGGAACAGAGAAGTTAAATAACTTGCCCAGGATCTTGCAGCTGGTAGGTGGTGGTTCTGTGACATGAATTTAGTTCTAGAAACCATGCTCCTAATCACTCTGCTGTTCTGGCTCTGCCACCTATCTTCTGGCGTTACCTCAAATTCAACGTCTGAGGCACAACTTCCTCTCTTTCTCCACAGGCTGACACACCCTTCCCATTTCCCATTTCTGGCAGTGCTCCCGCCTTTTCACAGCTACCCACTATCTCAGGGAGATTTCGAACCCGTCCCCCCTATTCATCTCTCTCCAACCAACTGCTTACTCACTGAGTGACATTTACGGGTGTCCACTCCTCAAGGCACCAGGTGACAGCTATGAACAGGACAGAACAGCTTGTGCAGATCACAGTCTCCTGGGGAGAAACAGAAGGTGGAAGGCCTCTCTGAGGAGGTGGCATCTGAGCAGAGAGGCCTGCTGGATGAGAGGTCAGTCATGAAAGTCTGGGGGGCAGAGCATTCAGGGCAGAGTGAAAATCACACGCAAGTCTCTGAGGTGAGAAGGGGCTTGGCATGTGTGAGAAAGAAAAAGAAGGTTTGGATAGAGAGAGAATGTGTATGGAGAAAGCCACAGAGGCAGAAAGGGGCCATATTGTGTAAGCCAGGACAAAGGGTTTGGATTCTACTCTGGATGTGAGGGAAGCCATTGGAAGGTTCTCAGCAGGGTGCTATATGAAGAATAAACTATAGCGGAGTGTAGACAACACTGGTGGCGCCACCCTAGATTCCTTTTACCTGACTGGTGCACCCACACTCCAGCTGCTGTAGGTCCTGGTTGCTAACACCTCACAGCTGACCCTTCTGCTGAGAAACGCCATTGGCTAAAAGGAATCAGCCACCTAGCCAGGAAATCCTGTGAGGTGAGGATCTCTTCCCTCCTGCCTGGGGACAGCCCACAGCCACTGACTGACTCGGGGACACAAGGGCCAGCCCCCTTGCCCCAGGAGGAGCAACTCTGGTGTGTTTCCCACCCCAGACTGGCTAGACTTCAGCTGAACACAGGGCATGGCCGAGCTTCTTCCTGGGCTCTGTGCTGCTTCCCTCAAGCCTTGACAGGCTTTGCCTGAGAGTGTTCCCTCACTTAGTCCCTTGTACTAAGTCCCCTGCTTCTGGGGAACCTGACCTGAGACAAAGAAGAGAAACCTAACTCTCAGCTATTTTTTCTTCACAGTAACACTTAAAAGCATCATTCATTTCCATCCCCAGCTAGACCCACTTGCCCATTTCTCTCTCAGCCTCCTATCATCTGCAGGAGCTTCCAAACTGCATTTGATCCTCCTCCATGACATCTGACAGTCCATACTCCAGTTATAGCTACATTTGCCTAAAACATCATGGCCTGAAGAGAACATTATTGGAGGTAGCTTTTGAAATTTTCCACCACTCAGTCAGCCAGTCTGTCTGTCAGGCAGCCAACAAATCCTTACCAAGCCCATCCTACGTGCCAGACCCTGCACAAGGAATATGAGAAGACACAGTCCCTTCCCCTAAACTTATGTTTAACAGAAGAGTTTGCCAACAATCTTGGCATTACCAAACAATCCTGATTTTATCTTACCCTAGACTAAAGCACTATTCTGCCTAAGCCAATCTGTTCATCATCCTTGAGGATAACAAATTCATTTTTAACCTCATCCTTCACCTATTCACTCAAGTCCTTCTCAAGATCTAGTTTAAGATCTTCCCTTATTGCTCCAGCCCAAAATGACCTGTCATCTCTCTAAATCCTTAGAAGATCTGCAGCCTGTACCACCCTCCAATACATTCATTCACTCAATAATGTTTGAGAATCTACCACATGCCAGGCGTTGTGCTAGGTGCTAAGGAAAGAGCATAAACTATCAGGAATTATTATGGAAATGTTTTATAAGCATATATCCTTTTTCTGCTTCAACACTTAAACTTTTAGAAGGTAGGAATCAAGCCTGTATTTCTTCTTTGCTCCAGGATATAGACAAGTTCACTACGCATGGTCTAGTTACTAGATGTTAACTCTTCCTGTGCATACAAATGTTCAGTTGATAGAAATTCAATTTTATGTAACTTTCCATAACATGCCAACGATGCAAAATAAACTTTATTGCCTGTGTGTATGTACCTACCATCTTTTTTCCCTAGCTCTCCCCAGTATGAATTTATGTATG